GATGACTCCAGGACAAATGCCAGGAATGCCAGGGATGTCAGGGATGACTCCAGGACAAATGCCAGGAATGTCAGACATGACTTCAGGACAAATGCCAGGAATGTCAGGAATGACTCCAGGACAAATGATGGGAATGCCTCCCGGATAAATATCCATAACAATACTAATAACATCAATAACTAATAACAACTATGGTCAGGGTTGCCATCATTGAATATAGGAATAACTATATTACAAATATTCATTCAACCAATACCACTTACAATGATCTTAATAATCTATTAACATAAATAAAACATAGCATAATGAACAGTGAAAAAACTGAAATTATTTAGTATCTTAAATTTTAATCCATCGGAGAGGATATTTGTAAAATAAGTTTTCCTCATATGTATAATAACATATTACCGCTTCCTTTCAAACTTCCATTTATAGATCGGAGCAGAATATCTGGTCGCAGGTTTAACCTGTTTCGGTTTTCTTTCCTTCTCTTTGGCTAAAACTCTCTGAATTTCTAATTTTTGTTGTACTATTGTCAACTCTCGTTCTCTTTCAATTCTCTTATCCAATTCCTTGTAAGCCATGTATTTCTGACGTTCGATACTAGCAAGAGTATTTTGATCGATTTGAGGAAAACTGGTCTCTTTTAATTTATTCAAATTAGGTCTGTTTGAACGTCTGGACAATAATGCAGGATGTGTATTTAGCCTTTTAACAATGTCAAAGTTTTTTTCTTCTTTATCGTCTTCCACAAAGAATATATGCTTATTTTTTGTTTCATTAACAGCGTCTATCAAATGTAATTGACTCTGCAACTTCTCTACCTTTTTAGCTTCTATGTGTCTCTTATATGCAACGTATCTGATATCTCGAGTTTCCATTAATTTGATTTGCTCAGGTGTATGCTCATCATCCTTATCTTTTTCTCTATGAATACCTTTCTCTACCTTAGAATTGATCATGTGAAAATAAAATTCATCTGGATTTCTATTGAGTGCACGCTGTTGCAATAACTTTAAAGTACGTTCTTTCTTATGATAATCTTTAGCTCGGGCAACATAATCTTTCTTTTTTTCGAGAAGACCCAAATGTTTACGAGATTCGGGTTGATGTCGTTCTCTATGCGTTTTTTGAATTGATTTAGCTGCTTTTTTCCAGGAAGACATCCTTAAATTATTTTTCAAGCCTACAAAAATAACTAAAATTTAAACTGTTATTGTAAATATTAGAAAAATTAAAATAAAATAAAAGTAAATACCTTTTTCGTAATATTACTTCCAAGCAATATTATTCGAACGATCAAAAAATTTATTTAGAACAAGAAATCACGTGTAAAAATGTCTTTCAATGCAAACTCTATAAAACATAACCTTACAATTCCAAACTGAACACATATGCAAGCGCGCGTCTGCGTATAACAGTGTTATACTGCGCATGTGCAAAACAAAGTACAACTTCTACCGCCAAATATGATATTTATATATACTTATAAATAAATCTATTTAAAAACAAAACAATATACTAATCAAACAACAAACTTATCATATTTGTGTTTTTAAATATTATATTACCATAAAAATGAAAGTAAAGCAAAAAACGCAAGAGAAAAGAAAAAAAAGCTACATAAACAAAAGATAACGTTATTAATGAAAAATAAATATAATTTACTAAAATCCAATAATAATGGATCAACAAATCAAAATTGTCGTACATAAACTAATAACGTATTGCTTTGAACTAATATTATTTGAAACACTTGATCAATTTTTCTTTAATCGCTAGATATAATATCGAATTGCACAGATTGATGTGCTCGTGATGGAATCGGTATAACCGTATTTCCAACGGACAATGAGCCTTGACTAAAAATTTGTGTCCCCGATGATATTCCTCTTTGAGAAGACAATTGATTTTTCATCCTTGCGATGGGCTCTCGACTTTTGATTTTATACCAACCACGGTGTCTTTTCGGCGTTGGACTTCTATCATCCGCACGTAAAATAGTGGAATCAGTTCTCGTCATCGTCGTCACATCCGAAGATGGAGATTCTTCCTTTAAATCTCTTGATCGTTTACGCGAAGTAATATTTGACGCACAACTTGATAGATAATTGTCGGTTGACGATGATGAAGGTATTTCGTTATTTTTAAACATTTTATCGTTCGAAGTTGGCATTAAAAAATTTCCACCTATACCAACATATAATTGGATAGAAAATATATACATATACATACAAATAAATATGTTTTTAATATATTATATCATATTAAAATATATTATATATTTCATAATATACGTTATATAATGCAATTAATTTTTAAAAACAATTTTGATCTCCAAATATAACGAATGTTTGTTTCAAAATAATATTAAACAAGTAGCGTACGATAGGGCTTTCAAAAAATTCATTAACATACCGGAAAAACTTCTGAAAGCTTGTTTAACGGCATGCGTCATACTGGATAACAGACCTGCACAATTGTTCTTTCTATGTAAGGAACTTTCTACGTTACTATTGTGCGACGACGATATGGAATTTGATGCAAGATAGAATGCACAGTTGTCGCTGTTCTCTTTATTATTGTCCATCGATGTGGTCGATTTTCTACTTGTCGTTTGAGAAAGTTTACTTTCGGCCAAATCGGAAATCGATGATAATTCCTTTAAGCCAGATTCGATAAGAGGTCCAATATTGTTTGACGTTTCACCGGCCAAATTGTTTTCGACAATCACCATCATCATCACACGAGAAGTGCCAGCAGTCTTTTGAGTAAGGCATATGTTGCTATGTGTTCTGTTGTACAATCGATTCTCTTGTCGAATATTATTGTCCTTCTCATAACTTTTCTCATCTGAGTTTAATTCATTTTTATTTTTATCAGACGTTTTATTCGTAACAGTAAAATTCGGCTTCTCTTTATCTGATTCCATAGGTATTTCTTCCATCCTAACAGTCGATCGTGATAAAGATTGTCGTGCTTCATAATATTCATCATTTTCCGTCATATTTGTACTACCGATACTACCTCTGCTCATGTCACATTGATCAGAAAATCGTACTTTTTTAAATGAATTTGATCTTCTTTCCTCGTGTATTTGTACTCCAACATTATTTTTCTCTTCCGATAATAACCCACCTTGAACTTCTGTTAATTCCATGTGATCATTAGGTTTTTCAATTTCATAGTTCAAGAATTTGGTTTTCATAGCAGTTACATATTCACTTGCTTCTCCTTCTGTCATAACCGATAAGGTCAATCCTTTTGGTGTATTCTTCGAGATAAATTGTTGTTCTTCCATATCAAAATGACTTGGTAAAGATCGAAATGGTGTTTTATCCAGATTAGTATAACAAGTCAAATATCTACTAGACTTACCCTCACAATAATCATTTATTTTAGAATCCGACGAGTATGTGTAACTTTTAATCGACGTCGCCGAACTTATGTTAGGTGTCTTTAAAAAAAAAATCGGTAAGTGTGGTGTCTTGTATTCGAAGCTCGTTTGTTTATTCGTAACAGCAACGTGCATCGGTGTACTCGTTGTTCTATGAAGTTGTGGTGGTGATGTTAACGAATCAACGAAATTATCATTGTAATTACCATCGATTGTTGAATGTTCTTTCTTTTTTGTTCCCAAAAAACATGAGATCGGTGTAGCCACGAGAGATCTTCTTTCGGATATCGATACTTGAGGTCGTTTGGTAAACCAAAATTTGCAGGGATCTTCGAAAATTCGAAATTCGTTTAATAATTATTATTAATTATAATTTTCAATGTCAAATAAACTTGGAGTATCTCGTACCACGTGAAATCTTTATTTGTGTAATTAAATTTCGAATTATTTTTATTTTTCTAAATATGTACAACTTATAAATCTCTTAACTTCGATTGTTTTAAAACATTGGATTGAGATTTCACGTAGCACCAGGTACAAAAATAAAAATTACCGAATAATTCGAAATCCTTGTTTTGTTCGAAATAATCACCGCACAAGTAGCAATACAAGGGAAGATGATTGATGATTACATGACTGAGTAATTTCTCGTCGAATTTTGGATGCAACGGGAACTTTTCACCGTGACACAACGGACAATAAAATTCTTGATTTGAATGTTTATTTTTTTTATGTCTATTACAACATTCGGTGCAACAAAATAATTTCTTACAAATGTTGCAGGTTCTATTCATCTGAAAAATTTCAACGCACACAAATTAATATAACACATTTTTCTTGTTTCTTATTCCATTATAATTTTAAAGATAATTACCGAAGAAGAAGACATGAAGACGAAGAAGTCACTAAGTGTTCGCTAGAGCAAATTTTTACTTACGTCTTAACTTGCAAGCATTTTGATACACGAAGGGTATTCCAATAACATAACAGACGATTTGGAATATTATTCTTGTCGATATTTAAATAATTCATCCTTTAATTTATTAATTTTATATTTTAAATAATTTCAAACTAAAAGTATTTAATATCCGATTTGAATATAATTGTCACACTCTAAATATTAATACTGATCAATTTCTTCCAAAGATAGGCAAGTTCTACTCGTGTTTGATACTTATATGCGCAAGGTTAATAATATATTTGTCTTCCGAGTTTCTCAATGTTTACTAATATTTTTTTTTCTTTAGCTTGTACAACACACAGGAACATAAGCCAATGTAATTTATAACGCGGTAAATGTAAAATAATATTCATTTTACAGATAAACTTATATAAAATAGAATAAATAGAAACATTTATTTGTTAAATATACAAATTAATTTGATTACAATATATTTTTCTTTTAGATTAAAATAATTTATTTACTTCCTTAACTGCTATTATTTTCACTGGATATATTTAATTGAAGTAATGACTTCAGAGAAAGTGTATTAATCACTTCCTCCTCTTCCCGATTTTTATCCATATTTTCTTCTTCTTTTAATTTTTCATTTATACATTTTTGTTTTTGCCTTGCTTGTTCCTTGAATTCAGATAAAGACATTGAACGATTGCTATCGATAATAACACTAACATCTGCTTTTCTAAAATCAGTATTTCTATTTTCAATTAAAGAAAGCGCCTCTTCGTATGGGGGGGCAATTGGGCTTTGCACTGGCTCATGATATTTATATTCTTTTCCTTCGAACTGTAAATATGTTAAAATCTATTAATTTAAACGATTATACAATTAAATAATTTTTCTAATTATTAATTATTATACTCCTCACATTAAGCGGATAGCAGGTATCAGAATCAGGTTGATTTAAGTCTCCACATACGACAAATGGTACAATGAGTCTGTTAACTCCTGTCAACTTTTCAAAGTTACATGGCTCATGAGTGAGAAGAGGATTCAACATGTGAGGTTCGTATCCTTCAGGCGGTGAATAATCTTTACATACTACGAAAGCTTCTATGCTGGAATTTCTAGAGCTACTTGGTTTGGCACAGTAGACGTAAGGAAAAAATATTTTTAATTGCGCATATAATAAGGAGACATCTTTAGCTCTAAAAATCTTTGCTACGAATGTTCCTCCGGGTCTTAATATATGAGTAGTAATATTTAAAGCTGCTAGTAGAAGTTGAGATTGAATGTAAATATCCATATCATGCAATCCAGTGACTAAAATACACACAAACAAAATTATTTATTATTAATATTTATATAATTTTAAAATGTTAATAAAAATGAAAGAGAAAGTACCATCAGGAGCTCCATCGCATACAACTAAATCAGCTTGCATATTATCAAAATAAGCAATTATGTGCTGAGCAGTAGCAGTATTTGTAATATCTCCTTGAATTTGAATGACACCTTCCAACGGTGCCATTGCTTGCAAATCAACAGCAACAATTTTGGGAGGCGTAGCTTCACCCTTTTCCAATGCCTTTTTGTAATTTTCGCTTAAAATTTCAAATGCATTATATTATATAAAATTGAAATATGTATATTATTTATTATATTTATATTTATATACTTTAATTTTCGTGACAAAACTTGACTCCAACTACCAGGTGCTGCACATAAATCAACAGCCTTATTTACACCTGTAATGAGAAATGTATGAAAAAATATCACTTTAATAGTTTGTTTTAAAATAGAAAATGATTGTAGGACAAATTTATAATTTTGTTATGTTGAGATACGGTACCATCAAAAATATTACATTCATTATCGATTTGTAATAATTTGAATGCACTGCGTGCTCTCCAACCTTCTTCTTTTGCTCGTCTATAATAAATATCACGTTTGTCTTTCGATGTTTTCCCCATTTTTAATAGAAATGATAAATTCACTATTTTTTCTTTTAAGTTATTATTAATTAATTAAATAATACATTTATATTTAATAAATAGGACACGAAGGTTAGTTGATAAAAACTTTAGAAAGTAAAGAAGCCATGTTGAAAGATCTACTAGCGCACCTAAAGTTGAAAATGAAAACTACTTGAAATTTGAAATTTTAATTATTTACATAATTTTTTTATTTATTACGCAAGATTTGTATAATTATGGGTGTAGAAAGAAAAAAGAAACATTTAATTAGAAAATTTGTATATATTTTAACTATTTATATATATATATATATATAATGAAAAATAAATTGCAATTAATAAAACATTCCTTGATACATTATTAAAAATTACCAAAACTATATTGTTTTGCAATTTTCTAACTCTTTAAAAAGCAATTTTTATTAATTCATTATGTAAAATATATAATAGTATTAAAAAAAAAATTGACAATATTATTTGTATGTTTGAGCCGTTCACTAACGAAAGATATTGCCTCCACATTAAGAATTTTTATAAATTTCAGCACTTAAACATTATGCACATTATTAAATAACAAAAAATATCAATCAATACAAGATGTACATAATCATATAAATGTTTTATCATTTTCTTTTTTAATGGAATTAATTGATTTGGTTACTGAACAGCTTATGTATTTAATTTATATAATTAAAATTAATTAAATTGCGAACTATTATTAAGGAAATGCGAATAATTGCAGATACCTTAATCATCATTCTTGTCAAAATATTATGTATTAACTAGTGTTAATATTAATATTTACTGTGCAACGTACATTGCATTATTATTATTATTATTATTATTACTATAATAATAATAATAATAATAATATAAAAATACTAACTATTAATATCTTTACTTATTAATATTATAATGAAAACCCTATTACTTTGTTCAAAATATCAATCAATATTAATATTCTCTTTGAAATGTAGATTGCATTATTACTCTATTATAACAATAATAATAATAATTTGTATTATTGTTGTTACCTAATCTTATTATGAAATTTCTATAATTTTTGACAAAGTATCAATTAATATTAATGCTCATGTTTACTCTAATGTACATTATGTTATTATTATTATAACGTTACTTCATCTTATTATAAAGATCACATTTTATAAAGAAATTTACTTAACACATTACGTACCGCTACAATTGCGAAAACTGAAAAATGTAATTTTTATAAATTTTAAACAAGAACCCTCTTGCATTATACAAATGACATTTCGTTATTTAACGTAATACACAAATATGTACACATGGGTTTTACATAAAGTTCTAACGAAATGCATAAGTATGTGCAGATGAGTTTTACGTGAAGTACAACAAAATTCACAAATATGTGTGCAAGGTACGTAATTTGTCAATTCAACAAAAACTAACTAACTAGATTTAACGCGTTACAATATATAATATAATATTTTCGATGTAATCAAATTTGTTTATGATTTCCCTAATATGTACATTATTACAAGGACATTTTTCGTCCTTCTATCGATATATCTACAGCTCTTCTTGCTGATTTCATTTTTTTGTTATCTATATAATTTTTCATATGCCTCTCAAATCGATTCATTTGCTTTTTGGTGCTCTGTAATTCAAATATTTAATAATTTATACATAATAATAAGATAATGAAAGTTGATTTGTAAACTCATACTAATAACAAATACTTACTCTACTTATATCGACATCTGACTTCCAATCAGGGCGCACAACGTAGTCCTTGTTAGATGGCCTAGGAACTCTTGCTCGTGCAACCCATCCCGGATCTCCAGGTCTCAAAGGTCTTAAAGAAGATATTAAAATTGGACTATTGCTAATATCATGTAAATGTTTTCTAGATGATGAAAAGTCACCATACTTGGAATCTCCTTTCAAGGCTTTATTAATGTCTTGTGATTTTAGAGAAGATCCATCCTCTTCTACTTTTCTTCTTTTATGAGGTTTCTGCTCTATATCACGCTGTAATCTTTCTTCCTTTGATAAGGCCTTAAAATCGGCAGACAAATTGAATATTGGTCTTGCCCATTCATTGATTAATTTCCCAGCACGTTCTTTATTTTCCTTAGTTTCCTTGGGATGTTTATACAAATACATTACAGCCTTGCCAATGCCTGATTGTTTCAAAGATGACTGATCGATTCTTGGGAACTAGAATAAAGAAAATAAACATTAATATGTATACATAAATTCTAACATTGTAAATGTTAAATATTTTTATCAACTACATTATATTTACCTCCCACAAAAGTTTCAAGAGACTGTCTCTTATTCTTAAAGATGGTAATGATCGATCAGGCATTGGAGCGAGCCAGTCTGTTAAAACTGCTAATACATTATGCTCTAAAAATGCCAATTGCAAATCATGCTTTTTCAATTGGGATAAAACCTTAGGTAGCATTGCAATTTTATTCGTAGCTGGCCTATTTGATTGATTTAACTTTCTATCTTCTTCACAAGCGCCTTTCATGTCGGCTAACAATTGAGCAATAATATCATCATTATCATTAATTATGTCAATATCTTTACGTTTGCGTCTGCGTGATTGTTCCTCCTTTTTGCGTGCCAACATTCGATCAAAATCAGACATGGAATCATCTCTGGAAAATAGAAATAATAAAAACGATTAACGTTTTATATATTTAATTTAATATATTTCAAAAAAAATGTTAATTCTAATATAATTTAATGAAAAAGGAAAACAATAAGAAACTCTACTTACATTCCTCTCTCTCCAGGAATTATTTCATCATCAGATTCTTCATTATCTTGTTCTCTGACATTAACTTCTTCTTCATCTTTTTTTGCATCTTCGTCTTCTTTCGGTTCCTCATCATCTTTTTTCTTAGCTGATTTATCCGCATTTTCTTCATCTTCACTATCGGATAATTCACGAGTTACTTTTTTAGAACTTTGAGCAGCATCATTTTCATCTTCTGAATCAGAGAGTATTCTTTTTCGCTTTTTTACGCCACTATCTGACTCTTTGCTTGGACTCCTTGATCTAACAGACTTTGAAGCCGATCTTGATCTCGATCTGGTGCCAGATCTTGAGCGAGATCTGCCTCCAGACTTTGCAATAGAAGGAGTCCGTGATCTGGACCTAGACCTTGATTTTGATCGTGAACCCGAATGCGATCTTGAACGGGATCTTGATGGTGATCTTGATCTTGAGCCTGATCGTGATCGTGAACCAGATTTCCTCGATCCAGAGTGTGATCTAGATCTGCTAGATCTAGAACCTGATCTTGATCTAGAGCGTGAATTTTTTCTTGATGCTACACCAGATGGGGAACCTTTTCTTGATCCTGATAATGATCTCGATCTTGATTTAGATCTGGATACGGATTTTCTTGAACCAGACCTAGATCTAGATTGGGATATCTTCCTTGATCCTGATCTTGATCGGGATGCTTTTCTTGATCCTGATCCTGATCTTGAGCGGGATGCTTTTCTTGATCCTGATCCTGATCTTGACCGTGATGCTTTTCTTGATCCTGATCTTGATCGGGATGCTTTTCTTGATCCCGATCCTGATCTTGATCGGGATGCTTTTCTTGATCCTGATCTTGATCTTGATCGGGATGCTTTTCTTGATCCTGATGCTGATCTTGATCTTGATTGAGATACTTTTCTTGATCCAGACCTTGATCTTGATCGAGATGCCTTTCTTGATCCGGATCTTGATCTTGATCGAGATGCTTTCCTCGATCCTGAATCTGATCTTGATCTTGACCTAGATTTAGATTTTGACAATGCTTTTCTTCCTGGACTTGGAGATCTTGATAATGATCCTTTATGCGATGCCACAGGAGATTGTTTTCGAGATCCAGAGCCAGATCTAGATCTAGACCTGGATCGTGACTTCGATTTAGCCTTTTCATCTCCTGAATGCGATGGTGATCTTGAGTGTGAACTTTTTCTCGATGAAGGAGAATGTTTCTTTAAGCTTTCAATGGAGCGTGACTTTGATCGTGACTTTCTAACATTGGAAAAAGAATTTTCCAATGAAGCTTTAGGCGAGCAAGAACCTTTTCTTGAGCCTGATTGTGAATGAGATTTCGATCTTGATCTTGATGCACGATTAGCATTAGGAGATACAGAACGTGATCTTCTTGATCCAGAACGAGAACGCGATCTAGAAGCTGCCCTGGGTGACGGGGATCTTGATGGAGATCGGGAATTCATTGGGGAAGCACTTTTACTTGGTTTTACTGAATTAGATCTAGATCTAGATCTAGATCTTGATCTTGATCTAGATCTTGAACGTGAACCCTCTTTGGATTTACTTGGTGATGGACTCCTGGATCTCGAAGACGATTTTCCAGAGCGTGCAGGACTGGGTGATTGGATTTGTTTCCTTTCACCACTATACGCACGTTCTTCAGAAAAAGATTTGGAACGAGATCTGGAAGCTCTTAGATTCCGAGTACTGGATGCAGGAGAAGGTGAACGACTTTTAGAAGGTGAACGAGATCTAGAATATGACTTTCTAGAACTGGCATTGGAACGTGCAGAAGTTGACGATGCTGGTGATGCTACTTGCATCGGCGAAGAGGGCTTAGATCTGTAAAACATAAAGCAATATGATTGAATATAAGGTTATGATAAATAAAGAGTATAACAGAGTATACAACAGGGTATACAATAGAGTATAATAATTAATATTTACCTTGCTGGAGATGAAGTTGGACTTCGAGTATTTGATCTACTCCTATTCACGTTTTCAACTCTAGCGGAAGAGTCCTGTGAGGAACTTCTAGATCTTCCCCTTTCATCTTCTGAATTACTATTTTCGTCTATAACCACAAAATAAATTTCATTAATTCAATGAAAATGTTCATAAAGTTGATTATTTTATTATTTGGTGAATCACTTTGATCATTTTACTTACCATCTCTACCCATTGTATCTTCTTTTTATATATAAATATGCAAATATTTATAAATAACTCTTGATAACCAGTCAGCTCTTCGATCGATTATTACAATGTTTAAGTTAGTTTTGTTTAAACTATTAATAAAACATTACTAAAACGTTAACTTAATTTTTATAATCGACTAATATCGTGAAAAGGATATTTCACAAATATATAAGACAAAATAAAATCAGAAAAGAAACTTTATGGCACAACGCTTAACAACGTTCGAATACTTTCGTAGCTGTTTTCTAACTAAAATTAGGGGTGCTCAAGCTCCCTTGGATACTTTCACTTTAGATAGTTCTGAGTGTTAACCAATGAGCGAGCTTGAAAATATTTTCTACCGGCGAGTTCTCAAGCGCTAGCCAATGAGTAAGCTTGAAATATTACCCCCTTGCGGAAGCTTAAGCAAGCTTGAAATATCGCCCCTTGCGGAAATCTTAAGCAAGCTTGAGATATCGCCCCTTCCGAGAGTTTTAATAAGCAAGCTAGAAAACTTTCTCCAAATTCCATGAATATTTTTGTTGTTTATACAATTAGACATCGATCTTTCTGTCGAAATAAAAAATACGTAGAATCTAAAAAAAAGTCAAAAAAGCAAGAAAGCGGCTGGCTTTTTCTGCTAATTAAAACTGCATTGCAAGAAAAAATGTTATTTTCAACAGAGGACAATACTCTTAATATGAATTATCAAACGATAACTAATAAATGAACTTGTAAAAATAGTACAATAATAGTAAGCGTTGTTCGAAAATACGTCTTACGATAGTGTTAAAAAATATAGCATATAATTCATAAGAAATACATTAACATAGATTATCATTTATTTTATTTAAGAAAAATATTTAACATAGGAATGTGTTGAACATATTGAACATTATTACATTAACTCATTGTTAAACCAATATTCTTTATTTTTTAAGGCTGATAATTATCATGGTTCAAAGAAAAGGCTGAATAAAAGAGACTAGGCAAGTGATTCTTCAACTTTTTCGATTCTCAGTTTCCTTGCTGAATAATTTTAAAGTTTCACATTTTATCTCACGTCAAAAATTGGAAATACACACAGAAATAAATATAATTAATTAAAATTTTATAATATTTTACGATGCACAGTTTGACAACCACTTGTTCGACGTGGCAAAGTTTACAGAAGTAAAATTCCCTCGGGAATCGCTAACGTCAAGTACGATCGTAAATGAGACGATAAAAATGACTAAGTTTAGTTAGTCAATCATACTCCAGATGTCGTTTAACATAAATCTCCATGTGAGTTGACGAAATGATCCGAAAGTAACCGAGTTGATCCGAGTGTTCCCGTGGAATGACATGGCGGCTGTGAGAGAGTTTCGCCGCTCGCGCGAGGCTGTCGCGTCGTTCGTATTTTATTTCATCCGCGTTAAAGAGTTTTCGCGTGTCGTCATTGTTTCGCCCTAACCTCGCGGTTGACCTATTTAGTTCGTGAACGTACGCATCCATTCTTGTATGTGCGGGATAATAGTTCGCGTGTTTTGAACAATCGACGGATCGTGCGAGAGAAAAGTTTGCTTTTTTTTATTTTTATTTTTGCATAACGAAATTTAAAAGCGACCAAAAGGAACAAAAGAAAGAGAGAGTGTGAGAGAGAGAGAGAGAGAGAGAGAAATAGATACATAGAAAAAGAAGAAGAAGAAGAGAAAAAGAGTGAATAGGGAAAGGGATAGGAAGAGTTAGATAGATAAGGAGAAGAAAGGAAAGAGAGAGAGAGAAAGAAAGAAAGAAAGAAAGAAACAAACAAAGAAAGAAAGAAAGAAAGAAAGAAAGAAAGAAAGAAAGAAAGAAAGAAAGAAAGAAAGAAAGAAGAGAAGAGAGACCGAGAGAGAGTGTGAGAGAGAGAGCGAGAGCTAAAGAGCTAGAGAACGGAATCCCCGATGCGGCGGGGTGTCTCGCGCACGTAACGAGCGCAAATGACGACTTCGATGTTGCTCAGCTTCAACCCGCCTATTGTGAAGCGGCTGCTAGGCTGGAAGAAGGCCGAGGGCGAGGACAAATGGAGCGAGAAGGCCGTCAAGAGTCTCGTTAAGAAGTTGAAGAAGTCGGCGGGTCTCGAGGAACTCGAGAAGGCCATTACCACGCAAAGCTGCAATACCAAGTGCATCACTATACCGAGGTAAGCATATCAAATGTTAATATTATTATCTATACATTTTTAATCATCTATATTTATTTATCTAAATATCTGTCTGACTATCTTTCTATCTTTCTTTATCTCTTTATCTCAACGCGTGTCTCTGTCTGTCTAGTTTTCTTTTTTCTTTCTTTTCTCTCTCTTTCTCTCTCTTACTGTATGTCTGACTCTCTCTGTCTTCTTTTATCATTGCCAGTGTGCGTTATATGGGATGCTGCTGCCCGTATATCCCTCTTTTCACTGCGTGTGCGCGATACTGTTTTATATACATACAACACGCTATAACACGTTTTTATTTATTCTTCTCCCCCTTCTCTTTCTCTCTCTCTCTCTCTCTCTTTCTCTCTCTAAATATATATATATATATATCTTTTTTTTTATTTTTCTATGTATCATGTAACTCTCTCATGCGTACGTAAAAGTTCTAGAGATTTCACATATTTGCTATTTCTTTCTCTTTTTTTTTTTTCTTATAGTGCGCGTATGTGTTGCGCGTTGTGCCAAAAGAGAGAATGAGAGAGACAAAAAAAGAGAGAAAGAGTACAATAATTGAAGGTACTCGTGCGTTTTTAGCACGTAGTAGTATAGTAGTAGTAGTAGTAGTAAAAGTGTTGCGAGAGGGTATGTTTCTTAGATCCTAAGAGTAACGTTCGTTTTAAATAACTTTCTCTCTCTTTTTATTGTCTTTCCTTGGAGTTTTTAAATGTTCAGTACAATAGATATAGTAAAAACATTTGACGATCGAAGATACGAGATAAAAACAAGAGTAACGAATGTCATAACATAGGCTCTGAATTGTTCATTCATAAAAATTGTCAATAAGGTTGGTCAGTAAGTCTGTGCGGTTTTAGTCTAGGTTATTTAATTGAAAAAAATTACATAGACTTATTGGCTATCAAATATATGGCTTCGCATAACTAAATATAAGGATTAAAGGTATTTGAATAAAAGTAAAACATTTCTGTACGCGTAACGATTGAAAATTAATTCTAAATCCAATTGAGTAATTCTACACGCGTAGTATGTCTGTAAATTTATGATAGTAAAATAGAAGATAATGTAGAATTTATACAAAAGGTCGTGACAAATTTTTGCTTGGGTACAGAAGGTTGTCATGTGGAAAAGCTTGAAAACCCTTATTTAAAACATATTATTTATATACGTAGTTCTTTTAAATGAATGAAAGTTTGTATACATGTGTATGTACGTTTGTTCGATCAAACGATAATTGACGTTCTTCCGACGGAAAGCAATTCAACTTGCTTACCGACTTTCTTGCTTTGCGGAGCATGACGAGAATAGATACTCCATTCGCTAACCGATCGGCGAACATCGAGGAAACGTACGAACGAACGAAGGATGCCTAAGTTTATCTTTTTCTCTTTCTTTTTTTCTTTCTATTTTTCTTTCTATTTCTCTTACTACCTCTCTCCATGTGTCTCGCGAATCGTCTAGACAAAAAGAACGTGCTTATTTTATTTCGTACGGAGTCGTGATCTGATCGCTTATGTGTTTACCGCATGCACTTCTTTTTCTTGTCTTTTTTGTTTGTTTGTTTGTTTGTTTGTTCCAATCACGTGATCATAACGTGACATATATTTATTATTATTTTGTTTATAAAATACGTAGGAACACGTACGTGTATATTGGGTGCCTCGTTGGAACTCATTTATGGATTATTAATAAACAGGATGAGTTAAAGGTTTCTCTTTTTTGTAATTTTACAATTTAATAAAAGAGTATGAATAATTGCATTTTAAAATTATCTACTAACTTTGGATCCATTTTTGATATTTAATAGTATATTTTAATTAAGTCTATTATTATATTAATATTACTTTTTTAAAGTTATTTAAACACGATGTACAAAATTTGTTATTAAGATATTAATAATATTTTTCAACGATTAATTTGAATAGTCACACTGTATATTAATTAACAATTTTTACTAGTCAACCCCGTAAATGTGTATGTGTAATTAGAGTATAACGTTTTTTTATCGATTACATTTTTCTTACCTTCGCACACGCACGCATACACGTATACAAAATTATAAGTGTGAAAAATTGTGTAATTTTATAAAGTTATGAAATACGTGTAATATTAGGAATCACGAATTTGTTAACAGCGATATGCAATGTTGGTTGCGCGCGCATCCAATTCATCAAAACTTTAAAATTGCGCGGCGCGCATTTATCATCATCTTTGTTTTCTTCCTCTTCTTCTTCTTCTTCTTCTTCTTCTTCCTCCTTTTATTCATCATTAGGAATTTTTTTCTGGCAATTCATTCATTAATCCTGATCTATGTACATCAAGAATATTTCGTAGATCATGACGTAAGCTTAGAACGATTGAATAAAGAATGAAAAATTCATTATCTCTCGTTATCTCTCGTCTTATTTTTCTTATTTTGTTTGTTTTTTTTTTTTTCACTCGTATCTCGTTTACAATTAATTTTCATTCTTTGTACGATATTTAATTTCATTTAATTCAATATTTAATATAATTGTCTTTGTTTTTTTCTTTTTATGTATAATATTGAAAGAGAATTAACGTAAACGATGAAGATGTTGATCGATATAAATGTTCGATTTAAAAGAGAGGAAAGAAAAAATAAAGAAAAGGAATAGAGAGAGGGAGAGTGAGAGAGAGAAAGCGTCATTGAAGCTTGTTCCACGTAGAAAGAATAAGCTCGGTGTATATATAAAAACCTTAATCAATAAATCATATTCAACCCTCGTGTCGAGGGATATAACATACTGCCTAGTTGGTCTATCTCGGCCGCCCACTCTTTCCAAGAAAAGTTATACGCGTTTTGTCGATAAAATAGAGAAGCGAAGAGAGAGAGAGAGAGAGAGAGAGAGAGAGAGAGGAAAAGAGGAAAAATAAAAGGAGGGGGGGGAAAAAAACAAGAAAAAAAAATTACAGTTAAGGAAGAAGAGAGAGCACATGAATTAATTTATTAACAATTATTTTTATTTTAATATTTTATTTTAACAGTATTTTATATTTGTGTATTTTATTTTTATTTTCCTTTTTATTTATTGAAGCGTGAGAAACCACAGATATGTCGGAACATCAGTAACAACATACTCGATATACTTAAAATATACTTGTCTATCAATGTAGAAGTATGTATGCTTTCGTATATAATGCATGTATGTGTACGAATACATATAGAAGCGATCGAATGTTTAGGAGAGTTCACGGTCGGCCGTATCATACGAGAGACATGTTTTGTGCACGATCGTGCGTAGGTGGAGATCTCTTTAAGCTACTTGGGAGCGTCGATCTAACGAGACGCCTTTCGTATCGTTTCTTCAAGGTCTCTCAATTCGATCTTTTAACACATCTCTTTTATTGTATATATTATTTTTATTTAAAACGATGAAATATAAATATTACGTAATACTATATTACCTATTAGAATGTGTGTATGTGTGTGTGTGTGTGTGAAAGTAGTTTGAAAGTTGCTTTTGTATAATGATTGGATACAATTTTTCGTAAGTTTATATGTTCGTAAATATTTCGAACAAATTTCATCTACAATTAATTATCAACGATTTATTTTTAATTCTTATCTTAATCTTTCGAAAAAAAATATTGATTGACTTTTTTGTAATTGATAGGAAAAATCTAAATAAATATTTAAACGTATTTAATTATCTTTAATATACGAGAGATGATAATCGTAATATGTAGTTAAGATTTTTAATATCTCTTTAATATTAATCGATTGAAATCTATATATACGTTTAATATATCTAAATATATTCTAATCTAAAGATAATTATACAGACAATCACATTTATTATAATTAACATATTTCTAATATCTTAATTTACATATGAAATCATATATATAAAATTATAATATAAACGTTTACTTTTTATATATGAATTTCATTACAATTTCTAATACTAATTAGACGTCACTGATCTATTGTTAAAAGAGATAAGGAAGGAGGGGTGAGAGAGAGAAAGAGAGCGAATAACGTAGATAAGATGGTGTTAAAATCATTCGCTCCGCTGGTCGTTATCTCTCCCACGGCGAATCTTCAATGCAAGTCTCTCTCTCTCTCTCTCTTTTGCATGCACGTCATCACGTTTCTCGTTCGTTACGTGCGTAAGAACAAGAAGGTTGAGAAAGGGGGATGGTGAGGAGGAGCTTTTGTTGCGTAGGTGGCTGTTAGTTTATAGTTACTTTGTGTGTGTGTGTGAGAGAAGTAAACAGTTAAATATAAATATTTTTTTACGTGTAAAAATATAGAAAAACATTTTTTTTTTATTAATGTAAAATATATAAATATTTCTTAATGTGTAAAAATATATGTGTAAATTATTATTTATGGATTGTTTATTCAATATTTCTATATTGAATTTCATGATATCACGAAGAATATAACAAAAATTCTATGTTTACAGAAAAAATAAATTATATTACAATAAATATTTATAATATAAGATAAAATGTTGAATTGAAATTTTTAACTATAAATAATTGCAATAAAAAAATGTATACAGAATTTAATTAAATATTATCAACGTAGTGAAAGATTTTTCAATGGATTTTTCCCTTTTTATTGTAAAATAATTTTTTAAATACTTTTATAATTCGATGTTTGAATAATAATGTTGATAAAATAATTATAAAATATAGTTAAACGATATCCTATCGAATATTTGTTTTCAATCATTTATATTTAACATTTAACATTTCTGCAAAGAATTTACCTAGTTATGGCATAAGCCTAGCAGAAAGGTGAGGGTGTGGTGAGTCCAATGAGTTTGCGTTACTAATTATCGTTATTTTTACACTCTTCGAGTAAACTGATATAGTTAAATCGATTTAATCACATTGAGGAAAATTTCACGAATCTTTCAACTTCGTTTAATCATTTCGTACATGCGCGTCTCATTTGAAAATACTAATCTTTCAAATCATCGATTACGATGGTCATAGAAGAGATAGCAAATAAATAA